GGATAAGGTCTAGGTTAAACTAAAGAGTACAGGATCCATAGGATTTAGGGGGGCACTGGCAAAGAAGCATATCGAAGAACCGCAAACAACCGCCGATATGAAGGACTATCGGCCCAACGTTTGCCTACAGTTGAAGTTTAATCAGCAGCAGTGTTGGTTAAGATGGTTAGACGTATAATACATTGCCGTAACATAACAAGTAAGTGTGTTTGCGTGTGAATGAGTGTGTAAGACCGACCTGGCCGTGATCTCTACGATCAGTTCACTGTCTTCCAGGTTGAGGAAGTTCTTCCTGGGGGTCAAGGTGACATTGAAGGCAGGAAGCACTGAAACCCACAGTTAGAGAGCCATTCCAAAACGTGATATTCACAGTTGAGAAAATGTGTTAAGATCAAAATAATTTCAAGTGTGACAACAAAGCTGCTACTGATGTTATTAGCAAAAGTAAAAAAAAAATTTCATGTACCATATTTCTTCACCTCAAACTTCGAGGTGAATGTGTTCTGCTGCCAGTGGTCAAACTTTGCAGTCAGCGTCCATGTTCCTTCACTGCATTCACAGTGTTAGAGAAAGTGCATAAAACAAAGGAAACAGAGACTTTAAATATGAATGAACCATGGTAAATTAACAGTGATACCTTGGAAAATTACCATAAAAGAGTGAAACCATTGTCAAGATCTATCTATAAATCCTGTTGTTTACCACCAAACAAACCGAGAAGAAAAGTTCGCTTAGCTCTGCTGCCGTGGACGAATCAAGTAGTTGATGTTTCCTGCTGCAACCTTCTGCTTTTTCAACCTTTCTTCCCGTCTGATAACTGACCTCCTTCACCAGTTTATTGAACTCTCTGACACTTTTCCTACGAACCATATCTGCGGCGTAACCAACGGAGGGAAAACCACCCTCACCAACTGTTGTGTGGTTCATCAGGATGACTTCTTCAAGTCATTACTGCTCTGGACATGGACGCCATGATGAGCACCATCACCAACACCCTGGATACTGAGATCGTTCCAAAGTCTGACCATAAGGAGAAGGAGACTCACATTTGTCATGTGGAGGGCTTCTTATCTAGCACCTATGGACCTTTAATCGAAGTGCTGAACCAACACTACTTGATTTCCATCCCATATAAGGACTGCAAAAAGAGGACGTGCTGGAGGTGGTATTTCAGTGATGGGAATTTAGCCACCCTAGTTTGCATTTACAGCAAATTACGCAAAGTAAACGGGGGGGAGGAGGGGGAGGCCTAAAATAAACATGTGTGACCTGCTAGTTACTGAGTTCAATTTCTAGATAATTTCTAGATAAATCTGGATGGAAATATTGACACGGTGAGTCAAAAAAACCAACCCTGCAATATCTTGAGGACTGCTGTCGGACTGTGCGTATATAAAAAGCATGGTAATGGCAGAAAAGAGGGTGAACGCACAGACAAACAAGATGATCTTACTTGACAAGCTCAGAGAGAGTAAATATGTCAGCAAAGACACCGTCATCAGCTCTGACCCTGGGCAGATGTTTAACCGCCAGATTGTCTGTATTCTGAAACACACACGAGAACAAATGAGCTGATAAAACCCATAAGTCAACAAGACGGAGGACACAACAAAGTCATTGCATTGTACCTCCAGAAAATCTATAAATCTCTTGTATTTCTTTTGCATTATGTTCATTCTTGTGCTCTCGTTAGAAATATCAATGTTCATAGTGAGATTATATTTACTGGGGCTGCAGCTAATGGTCATTTTCATCATCAGGTACGTCTTCAGAAGTTTGTTTACCTGGATATCTATTGTGATGGTGCTGTCAAAGGCCTTAAAGAAAGGAGTAGACACAAAGGCTCTGTAGCGAACTGGAGAGGGAGAGAGGGTAAAAATCAATCTCAACACTGTTCAGGCTCGTATCCCCGGGTTCCATCGTCATTCTTATTAATACCACTTATACTAGCACCGTTTCCCTGTGGCCACTACACTAGAAAGACAAAACGAAAAAAAAAACGTTTATTTTAAAATTCTGATTTGAATCTGTAAAGAATTTATCAAGTTGAGGGGGAAAAAATTTCAGACAATAAAGTCACAATATTACAAGAATAAAGTTGTAATTTCACAAGAGAAAAAAATGATAATATTATGAGAATAAAGTTGTAATTTTAGGTTCTGCTTTAAAATGAGGAACGTGGAGCTTCCTGTTAAGTTCTACTTTAGCATAGGAAACTGAGTCTTTTCTATTGTTGATGGTTGATGTAATATTCCTAAAAACTATATTTTTTCCTCTCGAAATTTTACATTTTTAACTTTCGTAATATTATGACATTTTTTTTGAATTATTATGATTTTTTTTCTTGTATTATTACAACATTTATTCTCTAAATTTCAGATTTTTTTCCTCATTGTGGCCGTAAAACTCAGTTTGAACCTACAATACTACCTGTGGTCTCTCATGCTCATGTGTTTATCTCCTATATCCTTTTGTGTCATTAATGCAACAAACATTTTCTTGAGTTTTCAGCAGCGTCCGCGGTCCTCACCTGTGTCTCCGGGGTTATAGACGGGTTTGTCTGTCTGGATGAAGATGTATCCAGAGTGAAAGGACACCATCAGTATCCTCTCCTCGACGTGGAAGCCCTCAAAGGTCACCTTCAGTATCACGAACTTGTTCTGTTCCTCATCACGATTCAAAAGATCCGAGGGAAGCTGGGATAAACAGCATCATAATTAGGACGAGGGCTGTCACGATATACTGTGATATTTAAAAAACTGACATATTGATATCGTGTTGATAATACACATATGATTATATTGTGATGGCAGACGTTGTGCATTGTGGATCATTTGTTGATCGGTTCATCTGGTTGCCTTTTCACTGAATACCCTTTAAGTGTAATTGTTCTTATGGTTTGCTTTTGTACAGTTACAGCTACAGACTCTCGCTCTCTCTTTGAGTCTAATTCATTTGCCAAAAAAGAGACAAAACAAACAATAAACAAAATTAAAGACAAATTAGACAGATTATTATAAATTCAATATTCAATATTATTAATTCAAAGGCATAAACCCTTTGTTTTTATATTATTGGAAGTACAGTATTTAAACAAAAATATGAAATGTTTTCTAATCAGAACGAGATATATATATATATACAGTAACGATGTTCCTTTGTTAAATCTTCTAGCGTCTACACCTTGTCCCTTCAGCTGCGACCCTGGTGAGTCACCTTTATGGCCTTGAGAGTGTTGAAGCCATTTCCCTCATTGAGTATGACCGAGTCCTGGAGAAGCAAGGTGTTCTTATTGAACTCCAGGATGAGGATGGAGACGGTGATGGGTGTGGTTAGACCGTCGACCTGCAGGTAAAGGTTCACCTCGGTGTCTGTCCTCAGCAGGTCTGGGGCCAGAAGGGTGAACCTGCAGGACGACGCGACATGAGGCAGGGGTAGTGGAGTATTACTACAGCTAGTATCACCACCGCAGCACGTGTTACTACTACTTCTATCCGCAGTACAATCACGTCTGCTCCTGCTACTACTGCTCCTGCATTATTACCACTAAAAACAAACAGCAACACTCAAATGTGTTAAATTGTGTTTTGAAAGATAATCATAGAGGTTAGAGAATATAAAGAGTGAAGCTTTAATCCATCCTTCATTATTTGCATGATGTGGTTTGACTGTTGTATTAATGGGTGTAAGAAAAGACATCTGATTAGCAAATGTACCTCGGTGCGTTGTTAATTGTGTCCTTTGGATCCAGTTTTCTGCAAATAAACAGTTCAAATGTGATTCATGACACAGCGCTGCAAACTAAAGATCAAACAAACAAATAACATGGTAATTCTTTAGTATGGTAATAAATGAAATTAAAACAAGGAGAAGGAAGTGATAATGCTGTGCGGTTAAAGATAATATACCCATTTAAAAAAGGAAAGAAGCAAGAATGTTTTTAGTAGTATTTAATCTGTTCTGTCACACTCGGTGTATCCCATCATTGATCCCACAGCAACAATAAAATCATTACTCAGGATTTTACTAGAGAAAATATATTTTCAGTTGAAATCTAAAAATCGAAGGAAAATTATAAAAGCAGCCACCATGAAGATCAGTCAAAACTTTTCGTCCGTCAAACCCTTTTAAAATGTTTGTTCAAGCAAAACTGAATTGATGCAGTGGTGAATTAAACACATTCAATCTGAAAGTTCTGTTAAGACGCCTGAAGCCTTGGTTACTTACTCACTGAGACCAAGGTATTTATCAAGTGATATAACTCTGGGGGCAGATTCAGAAATAATAACTTGTGTTAAAGACACGAAAGGTTGCAACTGCATAAATGATCTCTCTGCACACACACACACACACACACACACACTCATACACATCTTACATACCTGTCACGCCAGGACCCTCTGTAAAGAACACAGCTTCATTAGTAAACAAAAGTGAAGATATCAGATACAAACAAACAAAAGGAGGAGAAGTGACGCGGGTTACTTTTTCAAACCGCCAAACAGTCCGTTGGATTTGCAGAGAAGCAGGAGAAGTAAAATGTTGTGCAGCGTCCACTGACCCATGTTGACTCACCGGGAGACTGAGTGGACTGTGGCCACCGGAGATAGACGGTCAGCTACCGCATCCCAACCCCCACCCCTCCTCCTCCTCCTCCTCTCCTACCTCATCAGACACTGTGCAGTCAACAGAAAGAGGAGGGGTGTTGTTTCCGATCAATAACACTCAACAGTCACACTGACAAACTGCAGACTTGTTGGCCAACAAACGTGGATCTGCTCCCAAATGGCGAGGTGTTCAAAGATTTGGCATTAAGAAGTTTAATTTTTACCTATCACCCGCTGCATCACGGCAGGAGCTTTCTCTTCTGTTGGTTCCAAAGAGAAAACACTAAACCTAAAGTACTTTAATCAACTCTACTATATTATTTCCAAAAGTGAAGTATTCTAAACAAATTATAAATAAATAAGACAAATTAAAAGACGGTGAAATGTTGAGTATTTTACCATGAAAGTAGCATTACATTCTCCACCACTGGGTTTGCAGTCTTTTTTTAAAGTCAGGTATCAGCGTGTTACATTTTTTCAGTCACACTTGAATTTTTACCCAAAACTATGAGCTGTCACCATCACAAAGAAAAAAAATAAAATAAAAATACACACTGTGCATTAAAGGCCATTTCAAAACTTAAATAAAAACGCTGTGCAGTCAGATTTTCAGTGGAGATTTGAGCTGCTGTCTTTGAAAATCCATATCAAGTCCGGCTTAAAAGTGTTTAAAGAATTGCTCTGTGAACAAATGTCCAAAGGTCTCAGTGGCGTCTGCACAACAAACAACAAAGCTTTGTGGCAAAAAAGCATAAACCAACAGTTTACTGAAACATGATTCTTGGTAAAAACATAAATGTAACTGCAGGAATTTACTTTTTTAGTGTAAACACTTTCTTTTAGTGTGCCTACGTTACTACACTACAAAACAAACGGCATGAAATCGAATAAAAGCAATGACAATGAGAAATTTGCTTAAAAAGGACCGGTGTGTAGGATTCAGGGGGATCTCGCTAAATCTTACACCCCAGTGATTTAAAACAGAAGGATACTGTTCCTGTGATTCCTGAAGTCATTACTCAAAACAACTGGTGATACTCATTATGGATTTTCTTACTGAATGATTTCTGACAGTCAGTCTAAAAATGGCAGCTTCTTTGATTCCTGGTCTGAATGCGAACCCTGCCATTCACCACTGGAGGTTATAAGATAGTGGAACGATTACTGACCCAAAAACACAAGGTACATAACAAGAAATAAAACACAATTTAACAGTATTTTACATTTAATTTTCCAAAGTTTCTCAAGTTTTCTCACCAGAAAACAGAATTTCAATAAAGTGTTTTCACATGGATCCAATACAATACTTGAACTGAAGTCACCGTGTCGTCACATGACACACGGTGACCTGCGGCTTCAAATTAAAATCTGGTTACAGAGTTTTGTTAGAACACGTCCATATGACCACCACTGTTTTTTCGACAAGTGAAAAGTGGCAGGTTATAACAGGCGCAGCTGTGATGAACATCTCCCGCTTGTGTTTCATTCTCACAAAATGACACATGGACTTAATGGCCTCCATCCACTGAAAACAGAAACTGTCCCATTAAACTCTTGTGTGGAGAACAGCCTCATTGTCCAGGGTCTGAATCCGAGTCGCTGTAATCTGCCACCAGGGACATGACTGCTCCTCTGCTTCTGTCCCGCTCCTTCTCAAAGTCCTCTGCCTTTACAGGTCCCTTATCCACTTCCTCTGTGGTTTTAACACTGTCGTTTGTCTCTGATACTTCCTGACCCGCTCCTGTTGGTCTAACCGCTGTATTTGAGCCTTCCTTCGTCTTAGCGACCTTTGAAACCTCTCCGTCACACCTGCTGACTCCGGGGTCGGACTTTCTGCGGGTGATGGTGGCGCAGGGTTCGGTTTTGGCTCCGAGTCCTCCCGTGCGTTTGCGGATCAGCGGGCTGTGTGAGGAGCTGAGGGCTTTGGCCACCGCCGCTTCTTTCCCCTGCAGGCCCAGCTTATGGAGCAGGCTGCCTGCGGCGCCGCCCGGTGTAGCCGAGGTGGAGTTGAACCATGAACGAGAGGAGATCTCTCTCCGCTTGCTGTGCTTCTTGTCCTCGTAGGCTGATTAGGGAGAGGAGGGGAATGATGACAAAGGGACAGAGTCCTTTTATGAAAATCCAAACTTTGTTTCGTTTACATACATGTAGACTGAAGGTGGTTAAATGTTTACGATATTGTTTGAAATTTTGTGGAAAACTAGGCCATGAGACAAGGAGGAAGTGATCTGTTTTTTGTGGAAATGTAGATTTTTTTTTCAAATTTCTTAAAGGAAATTTGCAGTTTTATTACAGCATGTTTTATAGTCATAATTTCTATCAGTTATAATAACACTGCACAAACGCTTAGACGATCAGACAGGCTGTAAACTAACTAATTGAACTAACATGGTGAGTTGATATTTGATTTTTTTTTTATTTAAATATACAGTAAATACAGTCAGTAAGTTTGTAACATGAGCTACCAATAAAAAACTGTCAGCCAGAGATGGTTCAGGGTCAAATGCATTCAATAAATATCTTAAAGAGATAGTTAATAAGTCTTGAAACTCACAGTCAGGTGCCTGGTAGGTGAGTAGTGCTGCCAGTTTCTTATCCTCTTCCTTCTCTGGCAGCAGAGGGATGGACAGGTTCGTCCTCATCCTCACTGCGTTGTCCTTCTCCTCCTGCTCAGACTGAACCTTCTTCTCCGTCTGCACCGTCAGTTAAAAGCAGAGCACAAAACATCACATTTAGAAACATTTATCAATCGAGAAATCTGAACTTGGCCTCACTTATATGTTTCTTGTGCTGCTGGGAGTCATTTTCTTATTCCTGTCATACTTCAAACACCATACTATCCCTGCCATACTACAAAGGAAGAACAATGATGAAGACTGTATAGGTGAATTATACTGGTGCTGGAGGTTCACACAAGTTTGGAAGAAAAATTCCTATTGGCAATTTACCCATAACTGATGATAGGTACATTGTGTCACAGTGATGCCATTAACAATACAAGAGGTAAATATCTTACCCTGAACTTCCTGCGGAGGGTGCTGTTGAGCTGGAAGTCGTCCTTCCAGCCAGACTGGTGGTCCTGGATCTCCGACAGAGAGGGCAGAGCCTTTCTAAGCTTCTCCTTGTCTTTCCCACCATGGTCCAGCTTGTACATGGCGTCTGTCTCCAGCTTCTCCTTCTCGTTCCGCTCTGCATGAAGAGGCAGAGAAGTGAGTTGATGAGCAAGCTCAAGAAAAATAAGGCGGCGAAAAAGCAGGCAGACTGTGTCCTTGTGAAAAATGCTATCAACCTTTTTTGATAACATGAATCCTTTACCTGTGGTGAGGATCTGCTCATTTTCAGCCATGTCCCACCGCTCCTCTTTCCGGCGTGCCCCGCTCACTATCACGTAGTCGCAGGTCGCCGGATCTGTCTGCATCTCAATGTAGTTGACACACAGGTGGCACTTCATCCTGAACCTGATTGTAAAGACAAAAAAAGATGGTTCATAGTGATTTTTTTTTTTGGTGTTAGAGGAGGTACTGTAAACTGCACAACACATCTTAAGAGTGTAAAGTTCATGTCAGCAATCAACCCTGTTTACCTGTAGATTGGCGTGGTGTAGTAGTTCCCCACTTTCTTCTTCTCTGCATTGTAACGGACGCCTGCACAGGCAGAACATCAGAGTTATGGGAATGAAGACACTGTGTGAGACTGAGCCTGACAAAATGGGCCGTGTTTTTCTCCAGACTTACCCATGCCGATGTGATTTTTGCAGCCATCACACCAGATGTTGTAGGGCATCTCAAACCTAACGGAACACAAACAGTTAAAACATACAAAACACCAGCTCTGATAAAGATTCAAAGTTCCATTAGTTGCTGACTTTATCTTTTATTTTGTAGCATTATATGTATTATAATACTTAATTAAGTATTAGTAAGTAGTGATTATTAGAGACAGACGACATGTACACTTAATTTATCAGTGTATTCTAGATTTGCTTATTTCATCATATTTTATCGCCACACTGATTCGTGGTAGTAAAATACATCACCTAACATCATTTGCTTGTATAAATATGTCTCTTGAAAATGACAAAACCCAAATACAACTGACAAAAACAAATTAATCTAACATTTCTGATAATATGTCAGTACCTGAACTGCAAAAGAACATCATCAATCATTTACCCTCTCTAATCAATAGCCAACAGACAATGTATGTGTGTGTGTACTAACCTGATAATGAGGATGCCCTGGGACAGTTTCCTGGCCCTCTCCCTGAGAGCATGAGTTTTATGGTAGCCATTGAGTGACCCATGCTAAAGACAAAGAAATGGTGGAAATGCAAGTCAGTATATGTACACAAAAGTTGATTTAAAAACACTGACAGTCACAGGTCTGTGCAATCATACACACCTTGGCCGGGTCAAAATCTGGAGGGTAGTATTTGTTTGTTCCTTTTCTCTCACCCTATCAAGAAAAATAGTAAAGCACACTTTATTAGTAACAAGTGTATCCTGGGTATTTGAACATATACCCTTGTTTTTATTTGTATCTTAAAAGATGCAGGTGCAGATCATGGCTTACCATAGTGACTCCTTAATGTCCACACCTGTTATGGATTCACACCTTTGTCAGCAGATAAAAAAGAAGTAATGTCATATAACATATGGTTACGTGTAAACAGACATCCGATTTCCCTTAGCTGCCTAAAGTAACGTGAAGGTAATAACTTGCTAACAAAACACAGGGGACATACAGTTAAACATAAGAGACGTAATGTTAGCTAATGTTTATTAGTTTAACCATGGATACTCGCCTTAGCTTAATAATTAGCTGGAGAGAAGAAATTGGTAGCTTAAAGTAAGCTAGCTTACTTTTCCCAAGTGGTGAAAACGTCAAAACCAGGCTATACTTGAAAAATGCGCATGTTAGTTATAATCATGCATATATGTTTCCAATATCATTAGCACATTGAGTGAGTGACACATTGTCTTTCAAGGTAAATGACAGCATTAAAGTGCACGATTTTTGCACGGACTTTGGTGTGACGTTTTCTCGCTGCACAGGAACGCGTCACAGCTCCGGGCAAGCTAACATTAGCAATAGCTAGTTTACCGTGTAACCGCTAACGTTTAGCGTCTTCTTCGTGCACATATGAGCGACACGTAACTTAATGACAACTGCAAGTAAAACTAGTTGTATTGTCGTTTTAAATGCTTAACTGTCATGTTTATTATTGAGTACAAATGTTAAAAAAAAAAAAAAAAACACTTACAAATGCGTTTATAGCAGAACAAACCACAAACAATCCGAAAGGGGGCAGATGGGTAATGAAACGTCACTTCCGTGTTTAGGAAATTGCGTCACGATTACAGGAAGTACCGGTGTAAGGACAGAAAACGTGGTCGGAGCTCAGACTAGAGGGAAACATTTTCAATAATAGCTTTAATATCTCAATGCCGCAGAAATGGAAACTAAACCGGACCCGCATAAACGTTACATCTGCTCGTTTACCGACTGCTCGTCGGCTTATAACAAACAGTGGAAACTGGACGCTCACTTGTGTAAACACACGGGGGTGAAGCCGTACAAGTGTGAGCACGACGGGTGCAGCAAGTCCTTCTGCAGCCCCTATCACCTGGGAAGACACGAGCTCAGCCACAGCGGTGTGAAGCCTTTTACCTGCACCGTGGACGACTGTGCGGAGGCCTTCACCACGAACTCAAACCGGACCAGACACATCAGCCGCGCTCACTCCCAGGAGCAGAAGAAGTATGTGTGTAAATTTGAGGGCTGCGGGCTCGAGTTCAGGAAACACAAGCAGCTAAAGGCTCACATGTGTGAGCAGCACACACAGCTGCCCCCTTATCAGTGCACTTATGAAGGCTGCCAGATGAGATTCGCTTTCCCCAGCAAGCTGAAGCGACATGAGAAGGTGCACAGAGGTTACCCCTGCAAGGAGGAGGGCTGCACCTTCACAGGAAAGACGTGGACTGAGCACCTGAAGCACAGGAAGGAGCAGCACAGGCGCATCCTGAAGTGTGACCAGTGCAGCAAGGCGTTCAGGGACTCTTGGTTCCTGCATCAGCATCAGCACGTCCACTCTGAGACGCGGGTTGTTTTCAAGTGCCCCAGGGACGGATGTGACAGGTCATTCACCACGACCTTCAACCTGCAGAGTCACATCAGCTCCTTCCACGAGGAGCTGAAGCCCTTCACCTGCACGCACACAGGCTGCGGGAAGACCTTCGCCATGAAGCAGAGCCTCCAGCGTCACAGTGTTGTCCACGACCCGGAGAGGAGGAAACAGAGGAAACCTTATCCCAAAAGATCCCTTGCTTCCAGGTTAAGCGGTTACAGTGACACAAAGAGAGTGATCTGCAAAAAGCGCCAGAAGCCTGAATCAAACAGAGGGTCTGAAAAAGAGAAAAAGACTGACCCACCTACACCTGTTGAGTTGGTGTCCCTCCTGCAGGATACGTCCTTGCTGTGCAGCCCTGCTGTGGACACACATGGACTCACTAATGCCCTCACTACACCTTTAACTGTGTAGAGTTTCATGAAGGAGTTTACACCAGTATTATAAGGACAGCAGATACTCGATAAGAGCACTTCTAATATATTATCATTTCCAACTTTGTTTTTGGAAATCATGGTGTCGCATAAAGATTTTCGTCTCGGTCAAGTCGAAGTTTTGGACATGTGGCCTGTTTGGTTTGGTTGACAGGAACCTAAAAAAACAAACTGCGAACTGAGCTTCATTTATAGTTTGTCTTTTCTGTTTTGAGATGTGATTTATTTTTCTGAAGCCATTACTTACAATATGTTTGTCATTTAATGAAAGAAAAAATATTTTTGCACGAGGTTTTCTGCTTGCACTATAAAAATATAATTTTGTGGAAGGATGGTGTTTGTTTAAATAAAACCTGTGGATCAATTCAATTCAATTCCATTTGTGTCTGAATGGCTTTTATTCAGTGTCCATAGGAAACGTCTCTAAAATGATTTGCAATGACATGTCAGCAGCTGATATTTCCAGGAAAGCTACACATACATGCAAGATATATATTTTTTTATTTAAAGATAATTAAATTAAACTCAACTGACTTTTTGTCTATATAACTGTCTTGTTTTTCAAGCAGCTCCTCAATGTGCATCTAAACTCTAAACACTAATATCCCTCCCTAAAGGTGCTTTAAGTGTTGACGAGCACAGGCCCTATAATGTGGATTATTTACAATGTGCCAAGATTTAAGTTATTTAGTTTGGTTTTTATTCTATTATTTATTCTTTACATTTTTTTGAAAATCCTTTTAATGTGAACAGTTGGAATAAAAATAAAAAGTAAATAAAAAGTTTAGATTTCGTACATTTTTTGGTGGTGTCAGAATATTTATTGCATAATGGTGATGAACGCTGATTGGAGGGGCCCACTGGCAGTTAGTGTGGTGGCGTGGATGACGTGGTCCAGGTGCCTGCAGCTGATGTCACTGACTTGCACAATCCTCAAGCAGAGGAGGGGTGTGTGTTGTCAGAGTTAAAAACCTGCGGGATTCTTTGGCCGTGATCACACACGCTGGAGTGTCTCAGCTCTGACCAGCAGATTTACAGCGTAAACAGGAGCAGCTCTGTGCGAGCTTCAGATTCCAAGGCTAAATCCTCTCTGAATATTTCCAGTTACAGGAAGGCTGCTCCCCACATTCCCGCCCGGCTCGGCTCAGACGAGCCCTATATGGACTGACTGTCTGACCAGCTCACCTAGGAATGCACAGCAGACCTCATACCAATCAGTATTCATACAGTGTTAATGTAACATGTAATGTCTTGTAATCACTTCCTGTTTTCCTACATGGCTGTTGGAGTGATAAAACCTTAATTCATCATGGGGAACAAATGCTTCAGGTTTATCTTGTTGACACTGCTGCAGAGGTTACAGTAACACTGATCAGAAGCACATGTAAATACAGTGTAATAATAGTATTATCTGTCGCTTCAGTTGAAAACATTTCTGTTAAAAATCATCACGTTGGACAGATACCTTAGTTTGTCTCAAGAATAAAATATTTAATTTTCATAAACAGTGACAACGAGTATATTTTAACCTTTAAATCTCACAGCTTCTCCATACTTACCCCCCCCCCCGCTCTATTTTTACCTCTCTGTATCAGTCTTGGCATTAACTCAAGCTACATTTAGCCCAGTCTGCAGTCATACCTGAGCTTTAGCAGTCTGTCAAACTGTGCTGGGCTCAACAGTAGCTACTACTAAACTTATACATCTTCTCATCAAGTACTTCAACAGAAAAGAAAAAATGGATGTTATGTGATTAGGAGCAGCGGGTCTAAACATGAGATATAGCTTTTAATGAATTTGTCATAAGCTCAGTTATTTCATTTTAATTGTCATGGTCGGGTCATGATATGTCTCAGTCCTTAAAAGTAGATGATTTATTTATTAATTTATTACTGAGCGTGCAGTAATGCAGAGGAGACGGAGCGCTTGAGGGAGAGATTCTACGCTTACAGATCTATGATGCCTTGTTAAAAGTAGACTAGAGTCCAGCTGATGCTGACGTTTGTGAAGGAAACTGTCAACGGCCCAGGTCGCCGCTACAAAAAACCTGGGCCCTGGGAATATTGTTGAGTGGAGCTGCAGTGGCCACCAGTAGATGACTGGTCATACTGCTCAGTTTTCATAGGTTGAAATTTATTCAAAATCATACATATACATTTTAACTTGCTAAAATAGACAAACATGTACTTAGGCAATCTAAACTCTCTGTTAACGATTTAAAGTGGAGGGTGAAACTTACATCTAAAGGTACCCTGCTTTGTTTCAAGCTTGTGATGTGAATAGTTGTATCAGAATAGGTTGTCACTTTTTCAACTGATGCGTATCTAGTTATGGAAAAGTGTTGGGCAGTGTGTTTGGATCTGGCCGGGTTGACCGCTATATCAACATTTTGTCTCTTTTCTTTTTTTCTTCTTTTGCAGATATTGATGCCACGTTCCTTCCATTCCTGTCTTCTGACAAGGCTGAATTCCAGACTGGTTCTGCAGGCCGTAATCCAAAGGGATCGCTCTATCTCCACTGTATTTCTCCCGCCACCTCCTCTGCCCCCCCCCTTGTCTTTTCATCTCTCACTTGGCCCTCGTTCCTCCTGTCTCTTGGAGAGGTGGAAGGAATGTGTCAGGCCCTTTGCCCTTTCATGCGCTTGTTTTCAGTGCAAATTACCGGGAAATGCAAGCTTTCCGTGAGAAGGGATTCGATTGCCTGAGCAGAGCTGAGTTAAGCGGACCTCTGTGCAGGCCGACAACGAACTTATATTCACAAAATGTGCAGAAAAGAGAGAGGTTATATGCAGTGGCCCCAGGAAGCCGCCCAATGTACTGTACAGTACAGTAATCAAAGTTGGGTTTAGTGTATTACCACCTGCACAGCTCTTCAGTCAGCTTTCCTGTGTGTTTCCTGCATTTAGTGATTTCTAAAAAAGGACCACCAGGTCCAGCGGTCCACGTAGAGTGGTTCAGTGTTAAGTCTTGAATCTGACACGTCAACTTGCTCATTGCCATAAAGACGAGCTTTACACACATTCCCTTTATTTCACTTTGAAAGTTGGTGCAGCAAATTAACTGGTTCAGGTGTCACTGGGTGGGTGAATGTCACCTACATGATATCAGGTGGTCATAAATGGACCCCCCCTCACTGTGACAGGCCTTCTTGATTTTTCTTCTGCCGTCCACTGACTTCTGGGCAGTGACCCTTGACCCCTTCCCTGCTGCGAGCGGTTTTGGTCTGGTGTTCACAGACCGCTCTTTGATCATACGATGATACCTCAGCTAGTTCGAGTTAGACAATGAAGACCATGGATTGGGGCTGAAAGCTCTGAAAAACCTAAAAAAATTTTGTAGTAATTTTGTAACTCACAATGTTCCTATGGTCAAGAATGAATA